GCATGTCGTATTTGGCGGCGTAAAGTGATGACCAGAGCTAGGAGGATCCCTTGCAGTTCTGCAGCATACACTGTGGCCTCTGACTGTTCTCCCATGTATTCTGATCGCGTTTCCTGGTGCCTTGGGCAGACTGCTGCTGCTCCCACTCTGCTGTTAACCCCACTCCCATCTGTATATAATGCTGTTACTGGCTGGCCGTGGGCCATTATTGTGTTGTGTTCTATGATTGCATTTTCTGCGTTCTCAGCGATGATCACCTCTGGGGGGCTCCAATACGGCGCCGTAATGTACGGTTGGATACGCTCCAAATCCTGGAATCTGGGCTGTCCTAGCCTCCGCATGGCGAGTTCGCTGATTCTCTCTAGTGGACTCCACTCCCAGGGGCGCCAGCCAGGGTGGATGCGCCCACTCCCTATGGCTTCACCTCCGCGTGCTCTCCTCACCTGGTCTCCAGACTGGCTTGTTTCAATCCGTGTTAGCGCTTCCAGGGCCTGTTTCTCCAGGAGACACTGCATGGGTAGCTGGTGCGTTTCTATATTCAATGCTACTGTCGCTGTGGCTCTGAAAGCGCCTGTTATGGCTGCCATGGCTCTGGTATGGATTTGGTTTAGTGTCCGAAGGCGTGTCTGGCGATGTTCACTGTCTGTTTTGAGGGTGTGCCATGCTGAGCACCCATAGAGGATTGCTGGAAGCACCACAGCTTGGTAAACCTGGCGCAGCTGTATCAGACCTGCTCCCCATGTGCTTCCTGCAAGCATCGCCAGTGGTTTCAGGAGGGGAGTTGCTTTCTTTTGGATGTGTCTGATTTGGTCCTCCCATCGGAGTGCTGGGTCCAGGATGACACCCAGGTATGTGGCTGACTTGTTGGGTTTGACCTCTGTGTCTCTGATTCTCACAGTTTGCATTGTGTCGAATTTCATCCTGGAGCGGGTGAAATGTATGAGCTGGTATTTCCCTGGAGAGAATCTTGAGCCGTGTTTCCTTGCCCATGTTTCAGCCCTTTGGTGTGCCTGCTCAAGGTTCCGACAGTTCTGTTCTGCTGATGTGCTCCTTGTGAAGAAGTAGACATCATCAATCCATCCCGTTGTCTGCATATCCCTGTCCCCAGCGGTCTCCAAGAGATCCGCATTGTAAAAAAGGTACAGGATCAGTGATATTGGTGAGCCTTGTGGGATTCCCACATCCACCTGGTACATGTCGGATTCTATGTCACCCATCCGTATCGTGGTTGTTCTGTTACCAAGGAAGCTTGCTATCCACCCCACTGTGTCATGGTCTATCCTCCTCTTTTGTAGGTTATGGAGCAGCCGTGCATGTGAGACATGGTCAAATGCCCCTGAGACATCAAGAAACAGGACACTAGCTATGTGGGACGGGGTCATTTTCCAGGTTGTATGTATTCTTTCCAACAAGATATGGATTGTCTGTTCTGTTGAGACTCCTCTCCGTCCCCCCAGGTGTTGTGTTGGCAGTAGGCCATATTTTTCAACTGCATAGCTGAGCCGCTTTGCTATAACTGACTCCATTACTTTGCCCAGAGTGTTGAGAAGCGCTACTGGTCGGTAGGATTTCAATTGTCCATAGTCACTCTTCCCTGGCTTCCTGAGCGTGACTGTGATAGATTCCCGGAAGTGCTGGGGGCAGTAGTGCAACTGAAGACAAGTGTTGTACAGGCTCTGGAGAGGTTTTGCTATGTATTGTGAGATGCAGTGTAATAGGTGACTTGGGATGGTGTCCTTCCCTGGCGCCTTATTTCTGGGCATGCGTCTGATCGCTCCGGTGATTTCATCTAGGGTGATCGGCGGGAAGTGTAACGGTTCTGGGTAGACTTGGTCCTTGGTATCTTCTAGGTCAACCTCTGGAGGAGGTGGAAAGAAGGCTTGTTTGAACAGTTTGAGCTTCTTGGTTGCATCTGTTTCCATTTGCCCATCCGGTTGTTGGAGTGGTGGTATGCATGCTGATCATGGCTCTCTGTTCCAAGCCCACCTTGCTATCTTCCAGAGACCCTCTGTGGAGCTTGTCGCATCTTTGATCTTCCTTCTATGGTAGTCCTGCAGGGTTCTTCTAATAAGTCTTGCTTTGTGGTTCCGTGCCTGACAGTATGCTTCCCAGGCTTCAGGTGTTCTTTTGCTCTGATATTTCTGTCTCAAGCATTGCGTGTGTTGCTGGGCCTCTTTACATTCTTTTGTCCATCCTGGTACCGAACGTGGGCTAGGCCGTGACTTTTTTGTTGACTCTTTGACAGAATTTAGAATAGCCGCTACTATTGCTTGTGTGGCCTGGTCGATGTCCTGTGCAGTCGCTAGTGTTGATAGGTCTGGCAGATACTGTACCAAGAATCAGTGGAGTTGGTCTTTGTCTGTGCTTTCCCAGTTCCACTGGTCTGGAATCGTCCGCTCGTAGGTTGGTTTCGCCAGTATCGTTTCCAGTGGGGCATGATCTGAGTCATGGTCCAAATCATCCCGTGGGAGGCATCGGACAAGGCTATCCTGTAGTTGAGATGTGGCTAGTGAGAGGTCGATTGTTGTTTCTGAATCTCGGGCCCTGAAGGTGATTGTCCCTGGTTCATAAAGGAGGGCCAGGTCATGTTCTTCAACCAGTCGCAGCACTTCCTCTGCCTCTGGGTCTGTTCTTTGCGCCTTTAGTCCGCCCCAGTATGGGTGATGCAAGTTGAAGTCTCCGACCACCACCTGTTCCACCTGTCTCCATCGGCCCATTGCTTCCTGGAGTGTTGGGAGAGCACTATTTGTTGGCTCAATGGTGGGGATGGGGTTATACACATTGTGGATGGCGATTGTCTCATTCTTCTCCCCCCAACGCAGTTCCAATGTGCTGAAATCTGGTGTGTGATGTATGACTGACCACTGGCTGCTTCCTATCTGTTTGTTGATGAAGAAACAGACGCGGGTTTTTCTGTGGTTGTGGTAGGCAAGTTCAAAATGCTGTGGGATGGGGTTGTGTGTGGTGTTCATGAATGGGTTTCTCCAGGGTTCTTGTATAGCCAATAAATCGTAGTTTATAATCCTCCTGTCCCTGAGGAGACTGGCCATCACCTTGTCTCGGGACTTCATTGTGTTGTGCTGTAATATTGATAATATAGGGAGCCTACTCATTTTGACCAGGGGTTAGTTCAAAGAGGTTTAGGGTCGGTTGTGTGTTGTTCCCTGGAGTTTGTTTATCAGACTCCATTGCCTTTGCCGCTCTGGAGTTTGTAGAACTTTCTGCAAGGACTTGGCATGTCTGTCCATTACTTAAGCTCTCGCCTGCTTCTTGGGGGGCCTTTTGTGCTGAAAGTGTCCATTGTCACTTGCATACTGTTTGCCACCTTTCTCCATCTGCCCTTGTAGAAGGCTGCACGGTTCTCCTTAGGTCATATGGGTGTGACTGGCTAGAGGCTGGACTCTCCTGTGAGTTGTCTGCTCTGCTATTGATGCTGTTCTGTGTTCCTGTGAAGCTGAATGTCTGCATGGCAGCTGTTTTCTGGTTTCCTGCTGGTTCCCCCTCTGTTGCACGCCCTGAATCGTCTGTTCCATAGTGGAAAGCAGGTCGGTTTTGCCGTGCTTGCTCGACCCTTGCCAGCTCTTTTCTTCTTCTGGGGCATGCACTGCTCCATGCTGTGTGTTGACCCTTACACAGCACACACAACGGTGCTGGCTTTGGATCTGATAGCTTCTTCATGCATTCTTTGGTGTTGTGCTTCTCTGCACAATATCTGCATTGCTCTTTGGCGTCGCACTGAGGTCTGATGTGGCCATATTCGTGGCAATGGAAGCACTGTTTGAGTCGGCATGACTGGTCATATAGGACACAGTCATGGTGGGTTGCATTTAGTACCAGCCCTTCTTGGATGGCATGATTAGCGTGGTACTTCGTGGTGAACTCCACAATGAGGGAGGAGGTTGTCTTCCTCCTCCCCTCTTTGGTCAGCCATCCCACGTATGTCATTTTCGCGCCTTCATGTGGTCCCGCATTCTCTGTTTTGATTTTCTCAATAGCTCTCTGCTGGTTATCAGTGTTGATTGAATCCTTGCCAGTGGCTACTCCATGGACAATCACTCCATATGTTGGTTTGATTACCC